TGTGGGGGGGGGGGGGGGGGGATTTCCCACGTATGCTGGATACATTGCCTGCTTTTTCTTCAAAGTCTGTTTCAGCTCGTCAATTTAATTTAATTTAAAAATTACATTTAAAATTAAATTTCAATCTAAATTTTGTAAAAATGAATAATCGAATCAGTTTATATTTATCTAGGTATATATATATATATATATAGATAGATATAGATATAGATAATATGTATTTCAGAAGGCGGGCCTTCATTTGATACAGGAACTATTGGAGCCGTTCATGCCAGACTGGGGAGAGAGGTGTTGTAATAATGTAAAATATGTGAAAAATAATGTGTTTCTCGAACAACCTAGTATGAGAGCCTGTTCTAGTACACCTCCAAAACAAAACCAAGACTTTGTAAAAGAGCATAATAGGACCCCTTTAACTAAATATTGGCTAAATGCCGTTGTCTTTTCACTCATTTCTCGCAGACCAATACATAATCATTATCAGTCACATTTGAAAACAGAAATGAAATGCCTTTACAACTTTTGCTTCTTTGTTGTAATATCATGTACACTGTCACTACCGTTCAAAAGTTTGGGGTTGATAAGATTTTATAATGACAGTCTTTGTATTTTTTTTTTAATAGGTATGGAAAGATTGTGTCCACCAAGGCTATTCTGGACAAAACTACCAACAAGTGCAAAGGTGGGTGAAGAGTGGCTTTATGTTCTTGAGAGAATCACTCTTTAATTCTCAATGTTTCATTTACAATGAAGTAACCTAAGCGTTTGACACAACTGTATTTGATTGTATGTATTGATTTGTGTGTGTGTGTGTATGTGTGTGTGTGTGTGTGTGTGTGCAGGCTATGGCTTTGTGGATTTTGACAGTCCTGCAGCAGCACAGAAGGCTGTGACGATGCTCAAGGCCAGCGGGGTTCAAGCTCAGATGGCCAAGGTAGACTTTCACAGAACATAATGTCCATTCAGCACATAAACCTCTGTTTGCGTTTGACGCTTCAGCAGCGTGCAGCAAGAAGGTCATGTCTAGAAATGTTGATCCTCAGACCTCTGTCTCCACCGACGTGTTTCCGTTCCAGCAGTTCAGCCCTGATAAATCACTGTGCCTCGATTGTCTCCATGCGTTCGCGCCGCAGCGCTGCCGTTGAGACCGGACCAGAAATCAACGTAAAACAGTTTGCAAATAAGACTTGCAGCACACCGCCTCAGGCCGTGTTTTGTTAATTTTGTTTCAAACAATCGAACAGAAACACACACCAACTCATGTTCACTTCTGTTATTTTCATAGAAAGTCTAGTATTATTATTTTTGACTCAAAGTGAAACCTTTGCACAAAATTAAAAAGAAAACAAAACTTTTTATATACAAAATTAAAAATAGGATAGTAAAACGTATATACTTATCCCAAACCTCTTTAGCTTACTTTTCATAGATTTAAATATATCGAAACTTAATTTTTGATTAGTAATATGCATTGCTAAGAACTTCATTTGGACAACTTTAAAGCCGATTTTCTCAATATTTAGATTTTTTTGCATCCTCAGATTCCAGATTTTCAAATAGTTGTATCTCGGCCAAATAATGTCCTATCCTAACAAACCATACACCAATTTCGAAAAATTTACCCTTATGACTGGTTTTGTGGTCCAGGGTCACATATGTATGTTTCTTAAACATGCTAATAGTGTGAGGAATGAAGGAAAAGGTCAAATTGCTACTGTAAACTTATCACAAGTCGAAAAGACTATTCTAGGAAATATTTTACCGATTGAAAAGTGCAGTCAATCAGATTTACGTTACGTGTTTATTTCTAGCAACAGGAACAGGACCCTACCAACCTGTACATCTCTAACCTGCCCGTGTCCATGGACGAGCAGGAGCTGGAGGCCATGCTCAAGTCCTTCGGCCAGGTGATTTCCACACGGATCTTACGGGACGCCAACGGAACCAGCAGAGGCGTAGGATTTGCAAGGTACTTTGTTAATCACTATAATCACATCTATAAAACCGAGTGTGGAGGAACTAGAATTTACTGATGTTTGTGATTTGGTATTTTGACCCGAGCTCCATCTCACATAGAAAAAGTCTTAGATCTTTGAGTTCAGCTCCTGAAAAATGGGGGCAAAAACAAAAGTGTTGTGTTTATAATTTTGTTCAGTGTATATATCAACTTTTCCCACCTTTTTAATTGTTTATTAATGTCTTTGTATAACAGGATGGAATCCACAGAGAAATGTGAAGCCATCATTCAGCATTTTAATGGAAAGTATATCAAAACCCCACCTGGAGTGCCAGGTAGATGATATATAATTTGTTTTATATAAATTCCAATGAAAGAATTCATTATTGATTATGGAACAATAAAATATATTAATAACCTCTTGCTTCTTACGCTTCACCTGTAGTACCTACAGAACCGTTGTTATGCAAGTTTGCTGACGGAGGACAAAAGAAGCGACAGAACCAGGCAAAGTACCTACAGAACGGTCGAGCCTGGCCTAGAGATGGGGAAATGGTATGAGAGCTCTCTTTCTGGACTCTGACAGAGTGCTTACCTTGCACATTTTATATCAAATTTGTCATTTTTTCCTTTCCACGTTCAGGGAGGAATGACGCTCACGTACGACCCAACGGCCCTACAGAACGGGTGAGCGCAGAGAGACATCCTGGTTTCATGTGTCTCGTTTTTAGAGTGCTTCAGATCAGTATTTAAAGGTATATTCTTGTTCGTGATTCTGGTTCTCGCGCATCAATCAAGCACATTTGAGCTTCTGTTTACCATATTTGATGTGTTTTATATATGTGCGTAGATCAATGTTTATATGTGATTAAAAGCCTAAATTAAATCTGTTTAACATATAAAGCAATCGTGTCGCCTCAGAAGACTTGGATTAAACCGCTGGATTCATATGGATTACTTTCGTGATCTCTTTATGAACGTTTTCAAGCATCAATGTTTTGGTTGCATGGACTTTCATTCTCTCAGGTTTCATTAAAATATTTTAATTTGTGTTTCAAAGTCTATTGAAAATCTCATGGGCTTGGAGTGACAGCATGAGGGTGAATGGATGATGACAGAATTTTCTTTTTTTGGGGTGAACTGTCCCTTTAAGACTTAAATTACGCAAAAAATTGTGTTCTTCAAAATAACTCTCAATGGCTTTTTAAATGAACATGTAATGTCACTTCACTTCTTACTGTTTTGCTTATTATTTTCAGGTTTTATTCTTCTCCGTACAGCATCGCTCCAAACCGAATGATCGCTCAGACCTCTCTGTCTCCATACATGCCCTCACAAGTACCATCCTACCAGGCGAGTATCATTACGATAATGATATCAATTTTATGCGTGTCATAATTGTATGTTCTGTATACACACAGTGATACAGCACTGCTTTCACCCAACATTATTGCGCAACATATTCACACAATATTATTGGAAATATTTCTTTAAAACATTTAAAGGGGTCATATGATGCGATTTTAATTTTTCCTTTCTCTTTGGAGTGTTACAAGCTCTTGGTGCATAAAGAAGATCTGTAAAGTTGCAAAGACTAAAGTCTCAAATCCAAAGAGATATTCTTTATAAAAGTTAAGAGTCAGCCACGCCTACCTAAAACGGCTCGTTCTAACACGCCCCCACATATGCCAATCACAACGCACTGGATAGCTGGCCAATCACAGCACACCTCGCTTTTTCAGACCGATGAGCTTTGTAAAAATCAACGCGTTTCAGAAAGGCGGGGCATAGAGGAGAAACAATAATGTACAGTATGTGGAAAATAATGTGTTTTTTGAACCTTAAACCGCATAAACACATTTCATTTCACCAAGTACACAAAATAATGTTCTTTTTAGCAACATCATATGACCCCTTTAAGTAAGTTTTCAGTCATGTGACTGGAGCAGAAACATCAGTATAACTGCAGCACAGGCCTGTCAATTTTACATTTGCTTCAAGCCATGAATGCTTAGATCATCTCTCAAAAGAAAAAAAAAAGTGAACAAACTGCAAGTTTTGGGCACTTGCGATTCATTTGTATATCAATATCAATTGTGAAAAACAATGAAACATTATAAAACACTTAATGTGGCTTAATGTACTAAGACAGTGATTTCTGGGGCATATCTGCTTACCTGTACATAGTATGTCTTATTAATAAGGTGTGGACTATATATTGGTCCTCCAATATCACTTTCTTAATGCTTTTAGCAATATGAAGCATTTTCTTTATAGTTGTTTTCTATAGGAGAACGTTTAATGAGCAGTTTAGTGCATTGCGCTCATATTCCATGCAAACTCCTCACCTTTCGTTGAAAACTCACCTTTTTGAGATCAAAATATGTCTTTTTACAGTACCATTTGTACCAATTCAGTTCTGTACCCACTTGTAGTCAACCGCTTTAAAACGCTCCTGTGTGTTTTTGCGCGCGCTCTGGTTTCGAATTACAAAACCACAAGTTTATTTACAATGTGTTTTTGCAGCGATGAGTATTGTAGCCAATCACAGGCATCTCTGTTGAAAGCAATGGCCGGTCAGATGTGTTTTCTGTAGGTTAGTATTAGTTATTATAACGAGAGAGAGAGAGAGAACAAAGCATACACACGGTGTAATTTAGAGATTGATTGTGTAGTTAGTCATTGATTATATCAGGAGTTTTTGCGTGAGTATGCTCACTCCGTTGCGCTATAAGAGGAGCCCCTTCCTGGATTTGAAGAAAAGTTTTGGTTGTCGGTTTCAGGAGTGACAAACGCGAGTGTAAAAATGAGTGAATCCGCTAAATTGTTCCGTCAGTCGTTGCTATGATTGACAGTGATAACTGTAGCACTGGTTCGGAAGTGATACAGAGTAAATTCAGAGTAAAAAAAACTACAGCAGCAACAAGTCTGTGTTGGATGAATATATTTAGCTGCTTCTACAGTTCAAGATAAAACTTAAAACACTCTTTGTAATGTGTCCTTTTTAAGGCAGTTTAAAAAATACAGTTTTTAAATTAAATATAAAAATATTTCAAAATATGTAATGCATTATTATTTATTTGTACTTGCTATACTTCTTCAGTACAGTACTAAAATTTGTTATAATAGTCATTTTATACTAAATTCAAAATCAAGACGTGAAAACTAGGGAGTGGAAATGGCAACTGAGCTAATGAGTGATTCTCTGCTGCCATCTACTGGATATAATGCTAATTTCATGTATTTGTCATCTTAAAAGTCTTTGTTTTCCACCAGGATTTTTGGCACATTTTTTCATGTCATCTCCATGAATGAAAAGTGAATCTTTAAAGTGAATTTTACTGCACAACTGTAGAGTTAAAAAATAATAAAGGCTTTAAAATATTGTATAAGTGTTTAAAAAGTGTATGTGTGTGTGGGGGTGGGGTCTATATCACCTTTCACTCATGATGAGTTTGCATCCCTGTACTTGCATGTACAGTATATAGTTTGCATAATTGTGTACTAAATTCAGTCACTGTTTTAGTACATTCACACTTATTACAAACCTGGTAAAACTGTTTGTGGGCAGCAGAAGATAGCCTTGTTTTGCCCCTCAGGTGGACGTTCATATAATGGTGTGACGTCATGTGAAAACTATGAGATGTCTATACTGGGACTCCTTGACTACATATGGTTCAAAAACATCATGTTTCATTGTCAAATTTCAGCTATTGTAGGCAGAAATGTATTGGACTTGAGTTTAGTCTCCTCAGCTTGAGTTATAAGGGTTGAACTGAAATGCTTTACTACAGCAAAACCGTTTCGCTCATTAGTTTTACAATTCCATGCCTTTAAACAGACTTACTTGTTTGTAATTTCTAATTACCCATTTCTGTGTGTTATTAGGAAACTTTAGGTCAATCCAGACTACGTTTCATTTTTGTTGCGATAGTGAGCTCAAGCTGAGTGAGTGCCAAAGCCGACAGCGGTCGGATGGAAACACAGAGTGACTCACAGCATGTGTTCAGTGAGAATATTAGACCGCAGTGACTCAGCTGAGCTGGGGCTTGTGGGAACTCTGACACCTTATTGAGTGCTGATGGATGAACAGGCAAAAGCAAATAATGTACACTGAGATCCTGTAGGTCTGGCACGTGTGCTCAGAAGGCACTGAACGGCCCATTAGAGCCGGATTGCTGAGTAATGACGCTACGGCTCAGTCTGCTAGCGCCTAACGTTTGTCTATATGAAGACAAACGTTGAATGTTGAATGAATGTTGAGCACATTAAATACTTAACAGAGTAGCTCATCCAACAATGAAAGTCATCATCAGTTATTAAACTTTTAGAACATATAAAAGTTTGGAGTTGGTGAGATTTTGTACGTTTTTAAAGAAGTCTCTTCTGCTTTTCAAGGCTGTATTTATTTGATCAAAAATACCGTAAAAACGATATCTCTATTTGAATATATTTTTAAATGTAATTTATTCCTGTGGTCAACGCTGAATTTTCAGCATCATTACTCCAGTCTCCAGTCAGTGTTACATGATCCTTCAGAAATCATTCTAATATGCTGATTTGCTGAGAAAGAAACATTTCTGATTTTTTTAATTAATAGAAAGTTCAAAAGAACAACATTTGCTTGAAATGGAAATCTTTTGTAACATTATAAATATTTTTACTGTTCAATTTTATGCATCCTTGATGAATAAAAGTATTACATTTCTTTCAAAATATATCTTAAAGACCTCAAATGTGACCCTGGACCACAAACCAGTCATAAGGGTCAATTTTTGGAAATTGAAATTCATACATCAGCTGAAAGCAGAATAAATAACAAGCTTTCCATTGATGTATGGTTTGTTAGGATAGGACGATATTTGGCCGAGATGCAACTATTTGAAAATCTGGAATCTGAGGGTGCAAAAAAATCAAAATATTGAGAAAATCATCTTTAAAGTTGTCCAAATGAAGTTCTTAGCAATGCATATTACTAATCAAAAATTAAGTTTTGATATATTTACAGTAGGAAATGTACAAAATATCTTCATGGAACATGATCTTTACTTGATATCCTAATGATTTTTGGCATAAAAGAAAAATCTGTAATTTTGACCCATACAATGTATTTTTGGCCAGGTTCTCCAGGTTCACAAATTTTTAAAATGTAGTGTATAAATCACCTTTAAAGGCTATGCAAACAGGACAGATGCAAACCCCGTCCCGTTCCAGTCACCATCAGCATCTGGCGTCAGATGAGCAGCATATGGACCCAAACGCACGTTGGGATAGCTAGTTAAAATTGGCTGCTATGGTACAATATTTTGCTAGTGCCCGCACTGTGATTTTGGATTCGGAGAAACTTGCAAATTTGAGCCGAAACCAAAAATTCAAGGTAAATGTAACGCAATGTGACATTACACAAGCTATTTGACGTCCTCTGTGGATGAAGCACTGATTGAGCTGATTGACATGAGATGTGATGCGCAGTAAGTTGATTTAAGGATTTAAGAATCCTTGTAAGTATCGGTTAAAAATGATAAATCATCCAGCTATAAGCAGACAGGTTGCCTGTAGTTTATCCACAGTGTCCTCGACATTCAAAACACGCCACTGGAGAAACGTTTAATTCAGTCAATGATTTTGACCCTCCAAAATGATTTCTATTTAGAAGGTTTTCGGTTGATTGATATGCAGTGTTTCTGTCTCTGTCCTCAGGTGCACAGCCCGTCCTGGATGCATCATCAGTCGTACCTCATGCAGCCCACCGTGAGTGCTCACATATGAGCTCAGATATCGTTTTGTAGGGTTTGTTGTCGAACTGTAGCTTTACTCTACTTCACATAAAAGTTTCCATGCAGCTGGTGTTTTTTTTATATTAACTATAATAGCAAAAGAAGCACTATGTTGATTCAGACTCCCATGAGGTTTGGATATCTAGCAATCACCGCTGGTTTCTGCGCATCTCTCTCTCCGCAGGGGGCCGTTCTGACTCCAGCTATGGATCACACGATGTCCATTCAGCCCACGTCTATGATCGGACCCCTGACCCAGCAGCTCAGTCACCTGTCGCTCGGCAGCGCTGGCACGGTTGGTGGCCTATTACCGTCAATTTAGTTCCTCCTAGAACCTAATTACCATCAAAACGTGACGGAAAGTATTATAAGTATGACCAGTTGCTGTATTTATTTTGCCCCACAGTATATACCTAACGCAGCTATGCAAGGAGCGTATATCCCTCAGTACACCCCAGTGCCTCCCTCTAGTGTTACATTAGAGGTATGACGAGCCTTGGTCTGCACACGCTGCTTTGAATGCTGAACAGGGTCATGGGCAAGATTTGATGCATTCTCATTCTTTGTCACGTAGGAAAACAGTGGACAGCAGCAGGTTTCCATGGAGACGCCTTCAGAGCACACTAATTATTCCTATCAACACAGCAAATGAAGCTACGGTAAGACCAGAAATGAAAGATGTGCTGTCTGTCAGATGGCAGGTTTGGCACTTTATCTTTCAGATGCAGCCAGCTTGCATATAACGTTGGTAAACTATTCAGAGAACAGCTGTATAAATTCACATGTTTTATTATAAGCTGTTTTTGAGTCAAAACCAACTTAGTGTTGATAATTAATGCTGCAGTATACTATATTATGCTATACTTTTATACTGTACGACAGTATGTGTCGTGTAATTATGCTTGTAGTTTTGTAGAACATTTTCTCTAAAATTCCTTTAAAATTACACGTCGTTCAAAAGTTTGAGATCAGTAAGATTTTGAATGTTTTTAATGGAGTCTCTTATGCTCATCAAGGCTGTATTTATTTGATCAAAGATACAGAAAAAAACAGTAATATTGTGAAATATTATTGCAATTTATAATATTGGTTTAATATACTTTTAAGATATAATTTATTTCTGTATTACTAATGCTTACCTAATGATTCATAGCGTGCAGTTATTATAAAGTGTTACCAAATTATGTTGTCAGTGCCCTACAAATTAACTGGTTCTAGGATTTTCTGTATTTCTGTAATTTTCAGCATCATTGCTCCAGTCTTCAGTGTCACATGATCCTTCAGAAATCATTCTAATATTCTGATTTATTATCAGTGTTGAAACTGTTGTGCTGCTTAATATTTCTTTTTTTTTTTTTTGGAACTTGTGATACTTTTTTCTTTGATTCTTTGATGAACAAAAAGTTTAAAAAAGAACAGCATTTATTGAAAATAGAAATCTTTTCTCACAATATAAGTCTTTACTATCACTTTTTATCCAGTTAACACATCCTTGCTGAATGAAAGTATTAATTTCTTTAAAAAAATAAAAAGAAGAAAGAAAAAATGTACCGACCCCAAAATTTTGAATAGTAATTTATATTGTAACACGACATTTCTATTTTGAATAAGCACTGTTCTTTTTAACTTTTTAGTTATCAAAGAATCCTGGAATAAGTATCACAGGTCCCAAAAAATAATTTTTTTTTATTATAAATCAACATATTAGAATGATTTCTGAAGGATCATGTGACACTGAAGACTGGAATAATGATGCTGACAAATCAGCGCTGCGTCACAGGAATAAATTATATTTTAAAATATATTAAAATAGAAAACTTTTATTTTAAATTGCAATAATATTTCACAAAATTCGTTTTTTTTTTTTTTAGCAAATATATACAGCTTTAATGAGCATAAAAAACTTCTTTAAAAACATTAAAAATCTTACTGATCCTAAACTTTTGAACGGCAGTGTAATTATAAATTAAATTGTTACCAAAATGATTCATTTCAGTGCTCAGGAAAAAAAAAAGTGTTGTTATTGATAATGACAGGACTACAGCACAGTTATTCACAGATCTTCATAAAGAAGTTTTCTAATTGAATCTCCTGTAGTTTCATTCCAGAGAAACCCTGTGACTGCCCGCCCAGTGCATTAACCAAATGCTGCTTGAATTGAGCAAAACCTCACCATTCCAGAATGCATTCAGAGCATCTGTCACATTTCCTCGATCAACTTTAGGCCAAGAAAAGTTCACCCCAAAATTATAATTTGCTTAAAAGGTACTCACCCTTAGGCCATGAGTTTGCCCCTTCATCAGAACAGATTTGGAGAAATTTAGCATTACATGGATGCTCTGCAGTGAATGGGTGCCGTCAGAATGAGAGTCCAAACAGCTGATAAAAACATCACAATAATCCACAGCACTCCAGTCCATCCATCAGCGTCTTGTGAAGCCAAAATCTGCGTGTTTGTAAGAAACAAATCCATCAGTAAGACATTTTTAAACCGTTGCTTCTTTGTTATCATGCATCTTCAGTGTTATTATGGACTCATATTTTAGCCGGATGCAACAATTTGAAGTTGAACACGTCTTGATGGATTTGTTTCTTACAAACACACAAATTTTCATTTCACAAAACTTCATGTCGGTTGGCCTTTTCAGCTTTGGATGAGCTATTCCTTTAAATAAGCCTTGGCATATTTCAAATATTCAAAGTTGAAGCGTCACTATTTTCATCCCAGAGCAGCAGCTCTGTGAGTGTCCAGATATATTATTAAAGATAATAAAGCAGAATCAAATCAGCTTTAGGTCTTCTGCACTATTCTACTCACAGTTCTGGAGGAGTATTCCACTCAAAGCACCACTTTAGGCCAAATTTATATTAGAAATCAAAATGATAATATCTGCTCCATTCCTTTAACAGAAAAATACTTGATTACTTTGCTTGGCTTTGCTTCTTTTCTAGCATTTATCAATGATTTACCAAATTAGATCTGTTGTGTGAATCACATCAAACTGTTTGACCCCTGAGACTCACTGCAGCCTTTTTCCATGTTTATCCTGTACATATTAGGTCATTTTCATCACTGAATATGAACTGGATTGTCTTTGTTGTTTTTTGTCTCTCGCTCCCCCACAGGTCCTCTGCTCCGCGCTGTGGACAGTGGGAATCTCTGCGAGAGACAAAGAGGGGATCCGGATCACAAAAGGAGCGTGTATCTTTTGTAGGACGGAGACAAAAAGGACATCAGTCATGTTTTGTTCAACTCCTCTCTCTTCAGGAGTCACTCAGCCAATGGAGCTATCAATCTATTTTGATAACAAAACAGAAAAAAAAGTGTAAAAAACAATGCTGATTTAGAAAAGGGTAAGGCAAACACAATGTGTTCTTTTATGCACGTAATGGCAAATTCTTATTTTTAAGAACTAATTCTTTAATATGGAAAAGTTAAAAATGAGTCTTTTGTTTGTGAAATATGCAACTTTTTTTTAAAGATTTTAAGACTTTTTTTTTCTTCAGTCAGCAGCAGTAGGATATTTTTGTACAGCGTAATATGCAAAGTGCTTTTTGTAAATCAAAATGATAATGTCTGCTCCATTCCTTTAACAGAAAAATACTTGATTACTTTGCTTGGCTTTGCTTCTTTTCTAGCATTTATCAATGATTTACCAAATTAGATCTGTTGTGTGAATCACATCAAACTGTTTGACCCCTGAGACTCACTGCAGCCTTTTTCCATGTTTATCCTGTACATATTAGGTCATTTTCATCACTGAATATGAACTGGATTGTCTTTGTTGTTTTTTGTCTCTCGCTCCCCCACAGGTCCTCTGCTCCGCGCTGTGGACAGTGGGAATCTCTGCGAGAGACAAAGAGGGGATCCGGATCACAAAAGGAGCGTGTATCTTTTGTAGGACGGAGACAAAAAGGACATCAGTCATGTTTTGTTCAACTCCTCTCTCTTCAGGAGTCACTCAGCCAATGGAGCTATCAATCTATTTTGATAACAAAACAGAAAAAAAAGTGTAAAAAACAATGCTGATTTAGAAAAGGGTAAGGCAAACACAATGTGTTCTTTTATGCACGTAATGGCAAATTCTTATTTTTAAGAACTAATTCTTTAATATGGAAAAGTTAAAAATGAGTCTTTTGTTTGTAAAATATGCAACTTTTTTAAAAAGATTTTAAGACTTTTTTTTTTCTTCAGTCAGCAGCAGTAAGATATTTTTGTACAGCGTAATATGCAAAGTGCTTTTTGTTTGTCCTGTTTTTGAATTTGTAGTTTGATATTTAGGTGTTTTGGTGGAAAAACCATTTAAAGCCACTTCTTCATGCTGCACCATTTTAAGAATCTTCCAAGAAATAGTGATGAAATCACTCGAATTCAATCTTCACTTCTCTGAAAGCAACAGACAATCATTAACTTATTATTTATTACAAAGTTTGGTGCATAGCAAGGCAATAAAGCTTTGTCTTTCAAGTTCATATAACATATTAGATGCAGAAATAGCGATTCTCCAGTTATGTGCGCTTTCTTTTTCATTAGTAACGAATCCGAATTGTATGGTTTTAAGGTGTTTTATGAGGGGCATTTTAAATCGAATGATTACCTGTGAAACAGTTTGTGCCTCACATTAGTGTTCAGGATCAATAATGTGCTTACAGTACAGGAGTCTCGAGGAAGTGACTTTAAGTGGTTTGTTAATATCAAAAATAGTTCATAAAAGTGATGATAACACATGACTCGATGAAGTTTCTCAATACCACACTGCTATAACTCTTCATGCTGTAGTAAAGCAGATATGTGTCAGTCTGGTTTGAAGACTTGAAAGAAAGCTTCACTTTTGTTTTTAACGGTATAAATCAATCCATCTCAATCCATCAAACACCTGCATAAAAAGGAAAGAAAATCAAGGCATTTGGTTATGCAGTTTTTAATATATATATATATATGCAGTGAATGGGTGCCGTCAGGATGAGTCCAAACAGCTGATAAAAGCATCACAATAATCCACAAGTAATCCAGTCCATCAATGAACATCTTGTGAGAAAAGCTATGTGTATCAAGATGTTTTTAACTACAAACTGTTGCTTCCGGCTGAAATATGAGTCCATAATCCATAATTTTGCTTGCTCCAGTTAAAGTCTCATATAAATAAGGACTGAAATCTGCACAAATCAAGCACCATTTACAAGCGGAAACATCCAAAACAGCTCTAAACAAATATGTGGGTGGATTTTAATGTAAAAGGAAAGCAGGGGATGGACTTTCTCTTTTTACTGGAGGAAGCGTTATTAAAAGTGATGGACTGGTATTTTGGTTGGAAGCATTGGTTTGAAGTTGAAAACTTTTAAATGCTGGATTTGTTTCAGCTTTTGTCTTCTCCAGATGTTAACTGATGGACTGGAGTGGTGTGGATTATTGTAATGTTTTTATCAGCTGTTTGGACTCTCATTCTGACGGCACCCATTCACTGCAGAGCATCCATTGCTGAGACACTGATGCTACATTTCTCCAGATCTGTTCCCATGAAGAAACTCCTCTACATCTTAGCTGGCCTGAGGCCTGTGTTTTATTTTTCGGATGTTTGGTAAAACAAGACCAAAAAAGGCGTTTAGCACACTGATGTTTTGCAGTGTGTCACGGCGACGTGTCCTCGTCAGGTTGTGTGTTACCGTGGCTTTGGTTCTGTACAGTGCAGAGATTTGTAGAAATATCTTCCAAATGGTGCAGGGGTTATACATGAGACATGTATAGCAGGAAAAACTATTATATGGAGCAGAAGGTTAGGATCGAGAAGGACAGAAGCAGTTCTTCAGCGTGTGTAGTCGCTTTCTTCCTTCATGCTGCTGGTTTTTTTTTTTAAAGATTTGTTTTCACCGATGTGTTTTGTTTTATCTTCCAAGTGAGATTTGCTGTAGTGTTTGGGCAAAGCTTTGCTTTCTGGAAACTTTTTAGATGATGAATTCGTTTGGTTGTGTGTATTGGTTGCTGTTCCTTTTTTAAATCCCAGATTAATAGGATTTTTTTAAATGTTTGTGTGCAAAGGAAAGACATTGTCTTGAGTTTCTTTTATGTTCTTCTCTGTGCTGTTTGTTGTTTTACTTGAAATGTACTGTCTTGGTCAATCATGATGATGCACTTCTAAAAGAATTTGAATATCCAACATGAAACTTTTTGATATCATTGATGAAAAAAAAAAATCAGTGGTCACTCATGAGTTGTTTTTGTACACTAAAGCATACCAATATATGTTATAAATGTCTTTACACTCTTAAAAATAAAGGTGCTTCACGATGCCATAGTAGAACCTTTTTGTCTAAATGGTTCCATAAAGAACCTTTAACATCTGAAGAACCTTTCACCAAAGCTTCTTTGTAGCGAAAGAAGGTTCTTCAGATTATAAAAAAGTAAGAAAGAGATGGTTCTTGACTGAATGGTTCTTTGTGGAACCAAAAATGGTTCATCGCTGTGAAGAACCTTCTAAGCACCTCTATTTTTAAGAGTGTAGAAAGATTCGCTCTTCTCTAGGATAGAAACACAAGGGCTTATATTATAGAACACTAAAGACACGTGATGCAGTTGATACTTCCTTCCTTCGTTTGAGGGCTTCCCCTTGGTGCATTTTACATTTTATCAATGTAAAGCCATGACCTTGATCCGAAAACTATGAAATGGTTTTCATTAAGAGACTCTTCTCCATCCATAAAAAGAGCTGCTAGCTTGATCACCTTCTAGGATAGTTTGACATTACATTCAAAGAAGTTGTGTTATTGAAACTGATCAATACCTCTTTAACAGTTTACCATCTACTCAGGCTGAAATTCAAACTATTGGCAGCCATGGAAATCTTTGTGATACACTTGTCTTCAGAGTCCCAAAGAATGGATTCATTCCGGCTACCAAAGATAGCTATGCCACTAAGATACAACATGCCTATAGAGTATGACAGCAATCACAATCGTTTCCTACTAATGTAATAAATCCATGAGTGATTAAGGAGCTGATGAGTTTGTTGGTTACGCCAAAGGAAAAGTTTTTCCGTTGGCAGAATCACCTTTTGTAAAATCATCCTTTTCAGTGTGATTTTACTGTTGATGTTTTAAGTCAAATCTTCTGTACTAAAGTTATCTCTCAAGTTATACCATGCAGTTCACCTCATGAAGGAAAATGGGATTGATTTTGGTTATCAAACTGATCAATCGTTTCATCCATTATTAACACAAAACATTAAACATGGTTTTGAAACTATGAAATGTGTTGGCTTTTATTCAGATCGATTACATATATCTACATTATTATCAATTATCTACCATTTCCAACAGCTGGGATGATGCTGAATGTGAAAGTCAGTACTCTGTTCTCATTGCTCAGTTCAGATTTTCAAAGAAGAGCTGCTAATTGTTCGAAGAGCTCATTTCATAGTTTCAAAATGTATTGCTGCTAACATGGGGTGTTCAAGCTGTTCACCAGATAAAGCCATAAACCACAGAACCATTTCAAGTTATTGTAGCGAAGCTGTAATCCTAGTGCCTCAAGAAATGAACTGTGTTGAGTTGCTTTGGGTCGGTAGACAGCATCAAGATGTCTAGAGATGGGAAGTTGTACAGAATCAATACTGTATGTTTGTGATGCTGATGTTGTGATTATTGAACACGTGGCTTTTCTCTTGAACAGCTTTTTTAAACATTCTTTATTTATACAATAACACATTTTGAACAGGTGTCTGAAGAAACAGTTTGGTTGCATGTTAACTGGAGCTTCTAGCCGGAAATTTGTCTTCCTGTGACAGTTTCTGATTTTCCTTTTTTTCTTTTCTTTTTAAAGAAAAACTACAACAACAACAACAATGTTCTTCTGTTTTTGTTTGTGCCTTTTTTTTTAACTGATCTCTTGAATTCCATTTTTTTAATAAAATCTTGTTTGTATTTTGTTGGTTTATTTACTTTTTCAGTTATTCCAAAGTCTCTAGACAAGTCATGTGACTCGGCGGCCATCTTTGAAACGCCGCTCGGGCATGCAAGTGCAGCTACTATCTCTTTGTATGGGGAAACATCAAATTCTCCAAAACTGTTCACTAAGCTTACGATTAAATTTTATATTTGAAATCACCAAAGAAATCTGACAACAACTGTGTCATAAATGTTGTTTCTTTTGCTCAAATAGCGTTATAAAAAGCTTATCTTTCAGGCTAGATCAGCCAGTGCGCATGCGCAGTCCTGAGTGCACGTCTCAGAGCACTGACTGTTTCTATAGCAACCGGGACTTCTAACGGCAGCTGCAGCTGACTTTACCAATTAGCAATTGGCTCTTTCATTCAGAAGGCGGGGCTTCCTGCTATTGAGCGGCCATATTGAGCATTGCATTTTTCCCCATTCAAAACTACACAAGTGACATGTCTTGGGTATTCTATAGTCTTTGGTTATTCTCAGCATTTTCATCAAAGAACATTAAAACATCAACTGCAGTTTTTTTATTATTATTATTCAGATTTTTTTATAAATTGTGAAGACTCTTATTTTCATTCAATTTTATAATTATGC